ATTCCCCAAAAGACAAACGGGCAGAGGACACAAACAGGCATCTTTCAAAGGAAGAAATACAAACTGTCAACAGCCATAGTTTTAGAAATATGTTCTGCATGACTTCACATGCATATCATATTGCTTGCCTTTTTGTTGGGTAGGGGAGGGGCTGAAGGGAGGAAGGGAATTTAGAACTCAAAAATCAATGTTTAAAAAATTAAATTAAATTAAACAGCTACATGAAAAAGTGCTCCAAATCGCTACGATTAGAGAAATGCAAGTTAAGCCAACTCTGGGGATCCATTTCACATGCATTAGATTGGTGAAGATGACAAAAGAGAAGAATTTCAAATGTGGGCAGGGCTATGGATTGGTCCAGACATTCTGGAAAGCAGTTTGGAACTATACCCATGCACTCTATGGTAATACTTCTAGTGATAGGGGGCTTATCCCCCGCAAAAATATCAAACAAAGATAAAATATGCCCATCTCGTTGTTGGGTTATCTCAGTCATGTTTGAGTCTCCATGACCCCATTTGGGGTTTTCTTGGCAAAGATACTGGAAGGGTTTGCCATTTCCTTCTCCAGCTCATTTTATGGATGAGAAACTGAGGCAAATAAGGTTAAATGACTTGCCCAAGGTCACATAGCCAGTAAATATCTGAGGCCCGATTTGAACCCAGGAAGATGAGTCTTCCTGCCTCTAGGCCCAGTGCTCTGTGCACTATGGCACCACCTAGCTGCCCCAAAGAGGCCCATATGGAGACTAAGAGGGTGCCCACCTACTGGGGAATGGCTACACAAATTATGGCATATGAATGTAATGGAATACTGCTGAGCCATAAGAAAAAATGAAATAGAGTTTCAGAGAAAACTGGGAAGACCTCTACAAACTGATGTAAAGTGAAGTGAGGAGAACAATTTATACAATGACTAAAACTTTATTTTGTTTTGTGTTGATTTTTGTTTGTTTCTTTGTTTCTTTGGTTTTTGAGACGGGGACTCCTTGCCTCCCCCACACTCTCAGGCTGGATCCCAATTCCGACTGGAATGGAAACATTTTTTCAACTGGGGCTGTTTCTTCCCTCCTTCAGCAGCCTGGTGGCTGGCCCTACACTCCTGGGAGCTCACCATATTGGTACAGACAGGGTGGACATCTGATCAGCCTTGGTCCTACTATAGTCCAGAACCCCAGCCTCAGCTTCCCCTACTAGCAGACTATAGATGAGGGCCATCACACCTGGCTGACAACATTATAAAGAAAAATAACAAGAAAAGATTTTAAAACTCTGATTAACACAATCACCAGTCATGATTCTTCTACAGGACCAGAGATGAAGAATCTTATCCCACCTCCTGTACTTAAAAGTGCAGAACAAGACATGTATTTTTGGACTTGGCTGACATAGGAATTTTTTCTGTTTGATTTTGAATATTTTTACAAGAGCCCTATCTATCTACCTATGTCTGTCTGTCTATCTATCTGTCTGTCTGTCTGTCTGCCTGTCTGTCTGTCTACCTACCTGTCTGTCTGTCTATCTGTCTGTCTATCTATCTATCGATCTATCTGTCTGTCTGTCTATCTGTATGTATCTATCTTTCTATTAAGGGGGTCAAAGTGTGAGAGAAAATAAATGCTCATAAAAAATAAAAGTAATATATAAAATATTTATAATAGATAATACAATTCTATAAAATATTTATAAAAACATAAAAATAAAGTTTTTTAAATTGGAAATAACAAGGCAGCCTGGCAGCAGAGAGCTGGCTTCAAAGTCAAGAAGACTTGGGTTTAAGTCTCGCCTTGGACTCATCCCTGCTGGGATGCACTCCTTGGGCTCCTAGACCGCTCTCTAAGCTAAGGAGCAGTGGAGAAGATGCTGATCTGCATGGATAGAGGGAGGTTCTCACCAGGAGCTCCCCACATGAATGAAATCACAGGCTGGTTAGAAAAACAAGCAAACAAATCCCTGTAAATAGTGTAGAATTTAAGGAGTGATCAATGTGGCATATCAAAATCTGGGTTTGAATCCTGGCTAGTTTACTGAGCCCTGTAGGGCCTTGGACAAATCATTTCAGCTCTGCAGGCCTCAGTTTCCTCCTATATAAGAGGAAGGGGCTGCATGAGATGAAATCAAAGGTTGCTCTCAGTTCTGTTAGAAATGGACTTGACACCAAAAATTTAGTATCAAGAAAATTTATTATAAAGAAAGTCCAGAGGATTTAGACGTTTCTGGCCAGAAGCGGGCTCCACCCCTCTTCAGGAGGGGTGGGCCCTGAGTGCAAGGGAAAGTGTGCTTTTATGCAGTTGAATTTGGCGCGAAACCTCCCAGGCCGGGATTGGTCCATCCCTTCCCAGGCCACACCCCTCCTAACATGTTTCCCCTTGACATGCTCAAGTATGTTCCCCCTCCCCTGGTCATACATCCCATGACTCATTAATGAGGCTCCAATTTTATGCGGGGTGTGTCAGATAATAGTAATGAAGTTCATTAAGCAGGCGCACTAGCACTTTTCAGGTGTCCTCAGGTTGACCCCAACTGGTCTGAGCTGGCTTGACCCTTATCTTGATTTTGGGGTCTTCTTGGAACAATCCACTTACTTCCTATTGGTCAAGCCCAGCCCACCTACAGTGTACCACTTCCTGGGACCTTTGTTCTTTAAATCTCTGCATTATTCTCTTTCTCTGTGGAAATTTAACCTTTACCTGACTCTCACAGCTCTAAGTCTGACCCTAGGATTTGGAGCTTTCTTTGTTTATCTGAAGGTTTTTGTTGACAGCTACTAGTTTATAATTTAAAAAACGGAGTGAGAAAAGCCTCAGATAGCCCAGCCACACAGCCAACCCTGACTTTCCCTGCTATTCCCAGGAAGGGGCAGGCAGTCAACTAATCAATCAGTCAACATTTATTAAGCAACTACTGTGTGCCAGGCACCACGCGCTAAGCCCTAGAATAATGGATTAACCCACTTTTCAAAGTGTCGTTTCCTGCCCTCCTCCATTCATTTACTCTTTTCTTGAAGGCTCACAAAACAATCTGGTGAGCAGGGTGGGGCAGGGCTCCATAGACAGGAGCAAGGGAGGTAAAGGGACTTGCCTGGAGGGGACTTTAGACATCATTTAATCCCACCCCCTTACTTTAAAGAGTAGGCAGCAAACAATGTGCCCAAGTCACAGAGACGGCAAAGGGCAAAGGCAGGATTGGAACCTAGGTCTCCAGACTCCTGGCTCATGCTCTAACAGAGTAAAAGGGGAGAGAACTCAGTATTCATCCCAGTCTTCCAAATGATCCTGCCTTCTTTGCGGTCTGGTTGAAAGACTCAATGATCATGCATCCAATTTCATGAGCTACTGAATGTAGGCATAGAGGCCTACATGTCAAGTTTATGAAGTTCACCAAATAGGGATGGATAGCTAGCACTGCAGGTGACAGGATCCTCAAAGGTCATGACAGTCTAGAATATAGGACTGAACCTACTAAGATCCATTTTGATAGGGATAAATATAAAGTGCCCTGCTCTGGCTCAAAAAATCAACTTCACAAGTATAAAATGAGGTGAGTAGTCAATATCTGGAAGAGATCTGAGAATTGATACGGCAGCTCAAAAAATTAACGAGGTCTTAGGTGTATTTAGTTGGGAATAGCCTTCAGAGAGAATGAGGCGATCATCTCAATGTACTCGGCCCTGGTCAGAGCACATTTGAAACATTGGCTTAGTTCTGGAATACACATTCTAAGAAGCACAGGGATAGCCTGATGACTGTCCAGAGGAGGGTGACCAAGGTGGTGAAGAGCCTTGAGGTTATGGCATGTTGGGATCAATTAAAGGAAGTGGGGAGTTTAGGCAGCAGAAGAGAAGTCTTGGGACTGGATGGGATAGCTCCTTCAAGATTTTGAAGAACAGTGGCAGCTAGGTGGCACAGTGAATAGAGCACTGGCCCTGGAATCAGGAGGATCTGAGTTCAAATTCAGCCTCAGACACATAACATTCATCAGCTGCGTGACTCTGGGCAAGTCACTTAACCGCAATTGCCTCACAAAAAAAAAAAAAGACTTTGAAGAACTATACCCCAAATTCTGCTTGGCCCCAGGAGACAGAAACAATGGACAGAGAGGGCGGTGGAAAGAGTAACCAAAGTCATAGGCTGGTGAGTATCTAAGGGAGGACAGCTGGAAAGTGATGGAGGTCCGATGAAGTAGCCAGGGAGGGAGAGGAGACTTGGGGTGGGCCTGGCTTCCAAAGCAGGGAAGAGGGATCCCCCTCGCTATGCTTGGCCCCAGGAGGCAGAACCAGTAGCAATGGGGTCGAAGAAGCAAAGACTCCAAATTTGCCCTTAGGCTTGATGTAAAAAACAAACCAACAGCTCCCCCTCCCCCAGCATTCTTAGCAAGCGTAGAATTGCAGACTCCAGGCTGCAGGCCAGGCGCCCCAGCAACCTCTAATCTAATCCAAAAATGTGAGGGGCTTCAAGCCAAGGCTGCATTGTCACTGGTCTGGCATGTTGTGGAAACTTTTGTTTTTTTCTGATATGGGTTGGACTAGAAGGTCTTTGAGGTCCTTTTCCAACTCTCAAACTCTGTGAATTAACAAATCTGGCTTATTGCTTCTATCTCCTGGTTTTTCCATCGTACATAGAACTCTCTCCCATCTGGGCAAGGAGGCCCACGCCTCCTAACTCCCTCCCATGGAGGTCCACTTATCAGGTCATGTCTTTCTCTCTCTTACTCTTGGGGTTCGTTTTCAGTCAGAGGAGGGGCCCTCAGGGCCCCGACTCTACCATCTGCTCCTGGTAGCTTTGTCCTCTGTGCTGCTAAATCCCAGCAACCCAGGAATGTCCCAACTGAGGCCCTAAGAGGCTAGCTCTTATGTGAGTGGAAGCTGGCTAGCCCAAAGCTGACCTAGTACCTGTAGGGGTTCTGACGCCCCCAGCTGGTTTCAACCTGAGCTTCCTTCTGGCCAACGAGGGGTCCAAAGGAGGGCAACATATGTAACTCCAGGAGGCAGAAACCTCATACCTGATTGCAGGTGGTCTCCAGGCCAGGGTGGCACATTCTCCTTCCGGTAGGCATCCATGAGGTCTGGGTTGGGGATGTCACCAGGAGTCCGAAGTCCCGGCGCCCCTACCAGAATGGACTTTCTGGGCAGCAGTGACGGCCAGCAGATCGCGGATTGGGCAGGTCTCTTAAGGGGAAGGTTGGGAGATCTGAGGGTGAAAGGTAAAGCAGGGTCAAGGCTTCCCCTTATAGAACTTTCCCTGTTTGATCCCTTTACCTGGGACCTTCCTTTCCTCTTTTTTTTTTTTTAATTGGCGCGACACAGCTAGTAAATGAGGCTGGCTTCAAACTCAGGTCCTCCTGACTCCAAGGCCAGAGCTCTATTCACTGCGCCACCTACCCGCCCCATTCCCCTCCTCTTCCAGGGTAGCACCTGACCATCCCAGGTTTGAGTGGGGTTCTCAGTGGACTGAGGAGCCAGCTTATCCTGCCAACCCACCCAATTCAGTTTCCTCATCTTTAAGATGGCAGCACTGAACACTCTAAGGTCCTCTCCTGTTGTCAATCCTATGAACTATATGCCAGAATCAGGATCCTTCCCTTCCTGGCCCTTCTGACAATTCTTTCTCCTACCCTCCTAGGCAAATGTCTGTCTGTCTTTCCTGGTCCCATGTTAATCTCCAGGAAATCAAATGATCCATCACTCAGTGAGGATTGATTTACTGTTTAGTCCGTGCCAGGCGCTGTGCTAGGCCACAGAGATACAAGACCAAAAAACCCCAAAACCCAATCACTTCCCTCAAAGGACTTACATTCTATTCGGGGAGAAAATGTAGTCATAAATGATTATAGGCAGCTAGGTGGTGTGCTACAGTGAGCCCTAGATTTGAAGTTAGGAAGACTTCAGTCCATAATTAAATCAATTAGCCTTTATTATATACCTACTACATGCCAGGCACAGTGTGAAGTGCTAGATGCTGTGACCTGAGTTCAAATCCTGCCTCAGACCCTTTCTAGTTGCATGATCCTAGGGAAGTCATTTAACCATTTGCCTCCATTTCCTCATCTGTAAAATGGGGATAATAATAGGACCTTGCTCCCAGGATTGTTGTGAGGATCCGATAAGGTAATATTTGTAAAGTGCTTTGTAAATTTTAAAGTGCTGTGTAAATGTTTATTGTGATTGTTATATGGAAAATATGAAAAATGAACACAAGGTAATATTGGTAAGGAGGGCAGTGGGAGCTGGGGGGGGGGGCGGGATTGGGAAAGCCTCCAGAAGAAGAAAGTAGTGTTTGATAAAAATCTTAAAGGAGACAGTGCTAAGCGCTTTACAGATATTTTCTCATTTGATCATCATAACAACCCTGGTGGGTAGGTGTTATTATAATAGTCTGCGTCCGAATGTGAACTCGAGTCTTCCTGACTCCGGGACCAGAGCACTAACCACTGAGTCGCCCAAATGCAAGGCGTGCTTTCCAGGAGGGGGACACAGCCAATCCAAAGGCAGAGGAGTACCATATGAGAAACACCACAAAGGCCATTTTGGGTTGGCCCATGGAGTAGAAAAAAAGAGAGACCAGGGCCAGGTTATGAAGGGTTTAAATGCCCACCAAAGGAATCTATGTTTTATCTTAGAGGGAGGAGGAAGCCATCGGAGCTTTAATAAGAGGAGTGACATGGTCAGACTTAGACTTTAGGAAAACCACTTTGGCAGCTGTAAGGAGGATAGATTGGAGTGGGGAAGGCCAATTAGGAGGCTCCTGAAATAGCCCAGGGGATGAGAGGTGAAGGCCTGACCCAGGCTGGTGGCCGTGAGTAGATGCTGATGCTATGAAGACAGAACTTAAATCCAACAGGCATTTTTTTTCCAGTACCTTCTATGTAGCAGATAATCCTAGGCACTGGGGACAAGGTGTGAAACAGTCCCGACCCTCAGAGAGTCTACAACCTGGAAATGGTCAACTTCAGCAACTGAGTGGTTACGTAGGGAGAGGAAGGGATGATGTTATTGTAGCCAGACTGGGAGATGGAGAAGATGGTAAAGCCCTCGGGAAGTTCAGAAGTCAGGGGAGGGAGGGATAAGGAATTTGGTTGCGTATCACTGAATTTGAGGCATCTATGAGTCATCTGGTTTGCAATGTCCAATGGGCAGGTGGTAACGCAGGATTGACTCTCACCAGGGAGACTGAGGCTGGATGTATACGTTTGGGAGGAATCTGCATCATTAGAAACAAGAATTAAATTTGTGGGACCTGAGGTCACCAAGAAAAGAGAAGGGAGCTCAGGACAGAGGCCTAGGGGATATCCGAAATTAGGGGGGGTCATGTGGATGATGAAGCAACAATGGAGACTGAGAAGAGCAGTCAGACAGATTGGAAGAGGACTGAGAGAGGGCAGGGTCACAAAGACTCAGAAGAGCGAGTTATCTAGGGGTAGCTTGTGATCACCAGTGTCCAAGGCTGCAGACAGGTCAAGAAGGATAGGATTGAGAAAAGTCATTGGACTGGCAATTAAGGGATAGTTGGTGACTTTGCGGAGGGCAGCTTCATTTGAATGATGAGGTATGAAGCCAGATTTTAGAAGGGTAAGAAGTGACAAAGAAGAACGGAGGTAAGTTGTAGCATTTTTTTTCTTCCCTAAGGAGTTTGGATGAAAAGAGGAGGAAAGAATGGTAAGGTCTAGTAAAGGAGTTTTTTTCTTAATGATGGGAGATGGCAAAGAATTGGACACTGAGGGAGTGCCCATCAACTAAGGAACAGCTGAACAAATTGTGGTATATGAATGTAATGGAATACTATTGTGCTATAAGAAATGATGAGCAGGCAGACTTCAGAAAAACCTGGAAAGACTTATATGGTCTGATGCTGAGTGAAGTGAGCAGAACCAGGAGAACATTGTACACGTAACAGCCACATTGTGGGATGACAGACTTTGATAGACTTAGCTCTTCTCAGCAATGCAATGATCCAAGACAATTCCAAAAGACTTATAATGGAAAATGCCATCCATATCCAGAGAAAGAACTGATGAAGTCTGAATGCAGATTGAAGCACACTATTTTTTCCCCATGATTTTTTCCTTTTGTTCTGTTTCTTCTTTCACAACATGACTAATGTGGAAGTATGTTTAACATGATCACACATGTATAACCTATAACAGATTGCTTGCCTTCTAGGGGTGGGGGGAGGGATAAAAATCTGAAACTCAAAATCTTATAAAAATGAATGTTGAAAACTATCTTTATGTGTAACTGGAAAAAACAAAATACTGTTTACATGGTTAAAAATTATTAAATGATGGGAGAGACCCAGGTGTTTGTACAGAAGGAACCAGGGGATAAGGAGAGATTGAACATTATTGAGAAGGAGAAATTCAGCTGATTGTGAGGGTAATTTGCTGGTCAGTATCAATGGCCTATGTAAAGCTTTGGGAGAGTCACCTTGTTATCAGAGGCAGGAGGGAAGCAGGAGAGAATAGGGGATGAAGTCAAGGGCTTGTGAGATATAGAGAAGGAAAGAAAAGGAAAAGCCAGGCCTTGTCCTGGTCCAACTGCCTGCCCCCTCTTGATGAATTTGTATATCTGTGGCATCCTGTTCCTCTCCAACCAGAGGGAGCCAGAGGGAGCATCTTTGTGGCCAGAATCCTGGTCTTTCTACACAGTATTGCTCCCATCACTGATCTGTTTCTGTGTCCGTCATTTCCTGCCCCACTTTCCCTTCTCCACCATGTTTGTCTATGCCAAATCTTCACTCACAGTGTTTCCCAAGGACCCAATTCATTTGCCTGTCCAATCCCTCCCTTTCCTTCCCATATCTGGGTCTCTACTTACTGAGTTCCCAGGACTCTCCTCTCTCTCCCCTCCCCTGCCTACTCACTGTCTCCCTAGGACCCCCATCTGTCTCCTTTCCATCTTTCTCCAGGATCTTCATCTGTCTCCCCCCCCCCCCGCCACCCCATTCCCAAGACTCACTCCTTGCTCCTGTTCACTGCCTCCCCAGCCGCTTCATCTGCACCCCTCTCCAGCTCTAGGACTCTTATCCACGCCCTCCATCTGTCCTCAGAACCCTTATCTTTCTGCTTCACCCCAGGTCTGTCCTTCCTCACTGATCGTCCCCACCCCCGAGACCCTTACCCGTCTGGCTTATGCCTCCCACTCCTCATCCGCCCCTGCCTTTCTCCACTCCTCTAGGTCTATCCCTCTCGCTGCCCATCAGGGCTCACCCCACCCGCTCTCTCCACTCCTCCCAGGTGCCCCAACTCACTCTGACCCCCAGAGGCACGGCTTCTTCGCCCCTCCCGAGGGGTCAGCTGCGGAGGCAAGCGGGGTCCGGGGCAGGGCCAGTAACGACTGGCAGCGCCGGGCCGGGCCGGCTGGTTCAAGTTCGCGCCCCGCGGCCTCCGGGCGGGAGGGGGCGGGGCAGGCCGCAGGGGCCGACCTAGCTGGAGGCTCGCAAAGTGCCGGTGTTTGGCCGCTGGCGTTCGGGCGTGCCCCAGATAGGGAGAGCCCAGCTCCGTCCATCGCAAGCGCGCGTACTGTGCAGAGAACGTGCAGAGATTTGGGCGCTGGTTGCGTGCATCTTTGCAAAATGTGCCCAGCTAAAAACATTCCTGTTCCAGGTGGGACCGAGTGCATGGCTCTTCCCTGGGCCAGTGCGCCCTGCAAACCCTATTCCTGGGTGCATGTTTGCTCCGTGCACACTAGGTGCGCAGTGTGTCCCTGTGCCATTCCGTGACCTGCTCCAAACTGTCGGACCCGTAAAGAGCAAGGCGTTTTTAGATGTAGCGTGTGGTCCACGCACATGCCGCCGTCCCATTCTCCATTGGAATAAAGTATCTGCGTTTTATTTGGCCCTCGTCAGCAGTGCTGGGCACTTCGGTTTCTGCCTATCTTTTCTGGCACTGCCCAGTCCTAAGACTGAGAAGGGCCAAAGCCTCTGCCTGGTTGCTTAGGTCTCCTTTCAACCTGGGCAGCCCAGCCCCATCGGGTGTTTGCAGGGTAAGTCTCTTTGGCTCGGATTTGGGAGTGGCCCAGACCCTTGCTGCCTGTGTGATCATGGTCCAGTCACTTTCTAGGCCTATTTGCTCATTTGTAAAAAGGAGGGGTTGGCCAAGATGGAATGGAGTTTGCGTATTTCAGCTGTGAAGTCCAATTGACCTCAGAGATCATTTGGGCTCATTTTCTCATTTTATGGAGGAGGGATTGGAAGCCCAGGGTAAACCGCTGGGAGGCTGGCCTCCACACCAACTGTCCAGTTCCCACGGAACCAGCCATGGTGCCCCAAGCCAAAAGTCACCTTTGACTGCTCTGTCCCCAACCCATCCATCTGGTCACTTGCCAGGTTCTGTTAACTTGGCTTCATAATGCTCTTGCACCTTCCTTCGGCCCCCAAAGGAGCCACTCCTGTTCAGGTCCTCAATCAGTGCAGACCCCTGGAATTGTTTCCCAACTGACCTTCCTGCCTTGTTTCCTGATGCATCCTCCTCTCTGATAAGTAACACTTAACACGATGTATTGGAGTTCTGTCTGCCAATGCCCACAGGTCCCTTTTAAGAATGTTTCTAAATAAAGGGAATGCCCAATTTTAGTTGGAGGTTAGTAAGAATACTTTTTCCCATCCAAGTTCATGTATCTTTATGTAGGGGTCTGTGAGCCCTTGGTTCAGATACTCTCTATGCTACACAAATGAGTTCACAGAATCATAGAGACCTTGGGGATCATCTGGCTCATTTTATGCTTGAGGAAACCAAGACTCACAGGTTAAGTGACTGACCCAAGGACACACATACAGTAAGGAACAGAATCAGGATCTGAACCCAATTCCTGCATTCTTCCGACTGTACCACACTATGGTTGCGTAAACACCTGAATCCCATGGTTCTTGGTTGGAACCGCAGTTATACCCAGACTGGGGCTCCTGGCTCCAAAAGGCCAGTTTCTAGATCCATGATGATGGATCCTCCACCTTCTGCAAATTCTCCTTGATTCTAGTCAGCCTTGAAAGGAGCTACTTCCACCAAAAAGTTAAAAAAAAATCCCCAAACCCAAACCCCAAACTTCAGTGGCTGGCTCCCCAGGGTTTACTAAATATAGTGGTTCCAGGCTCACCACAACCTGGCTCCCAACCGTCTTTCAGCCAAAGCAGAATATTTTCCACACTGTCCTGCTCTCTCCCTTCAGCCCCAGACGTGCCTTTGCTCATGCCTGGGTGTCTCACCCTCCTGTTGGCTTAGCGATGCCACCCTTCCCCTAGCGTCTCCCAGCATTGCACCTGGACCTTTCACTCACACTCCCCCTCCTAGATCGCCTATGTGAAATCATCTTTACCCCTTTAGGCAGAAGGATCCTTGGGCACAGAGATGTCACAGCTCTCCATGTCTCTGGCAGCTAATACAGTCTTGTCCGTCGCATCATTTAATAAATTCATTTGAGTAAATAACTTTGCTTTCCTTCAGCTGAGTAGCTAGCAGCAGCTGCTCTGTGTGGCCATGCAGAAGCCCCCGTGGATACAGAGGGGTTCCAGCACCTGGTCCTCAAGCTTCCCCCATCCTCCTGCTCCTTAGCTGCCTTCCTCAAGGAATGACTGGAATTTCTCAGGATGGAACCCTAATGAACTGCAGCCAAAGGCAAGCATGACTCAGATGTGGTCTGGGAAGGCTTGAGAAAGGGTTAGGGAGCCAAGCCCCATTACACTTCCTGCCCTTATGATGCCTTGGGAGAATGCAAGCAGATCATCAATGGATGCTGATGATGCTAGAGAACCACTAGAGGGCTGCTTTCAAACTGGAAAGGTGGGCCAAAGGTCTGAGGCTTAGCTGGCATGTCAGCACATGTAACCTGGACACACGACCCTGTGACCACCCTGTGAGCCCTCCCCACCCAGGCTGTGGGACTCCTTGGCTCAGGCACATGACCCTGTGAGCAATGGAGGCCTCCCATTGCTGTGTTGGCTCAGGAAGGGCTGAGGACCAGGCTGGTGGGGAATCCCTGGTTCAAGTACAATAGAAGCAGCATCTCTCATGTCTGCACGAAAAGCACCTGCAAGCCTCGTCTCTCTGAATGGGGCCATCCTTCTGAACTCTGGCAGCCCTGGTGCCATGCAGAAGCCACAGCGGGTGTGCCAGGGACTGGAAATGGCTTCATAACACGCACAGCCCAGTGATTGGATTCCTCAAACTTTAATGCCATAACTTGAAAGTTACGTAATAAAGGCAATGGCAGTGTTTCAGAGGCTCCATCCGAGTGTCCATGGTGGAGCTGCTGCCCCTGGGGGAGAGGCTTCCCTCACTGTTACTCCACACTCAGCCTCTATGGAAATGCTACCCACCCGCCTGGGGCGTGGGGAGGACGGCTACCCTCACTGGCCACACTTAGGGCTGCAGAGACCTTGGCACAGCCTAGGCACTTGACAGCATGGCCCTGGAGGTGCGGACAAACAGACTCAAGCTATCCAAAGTGCATTCAGACAGACCTTGGGGAGTGTGGTGCTGAGAGCCTGGGAGGGGGCCCACAATCAGAGTAGAGAGACTACTGCTCAATCGTGAGCCCATTTCGCCCAAGGGAAGCACAGATGGCAAGACCCTATCCAGTGCCAGAAGCTCATAAACTCTGAGAGGGAAGGGCGAGGGGGGAACAGAGTGAGTCTCCAGTGTGGGGAGATTTCGATCTCTGGGGACATCGGGCGGGAGGAAGACCTCAGTATGGTCGAGCCGCCGGCTTGCTCTCCAGGTCTGCATAGGGGTGAGCCAAGGCAGGGTCCTCCTGCGTGTCGATGGTCTGGTACGCGCTGCGCTCCTGCAGTGGGCCGAGGGAACCTAGAGATGCAGGTGGAGGCGGAGAGGAAGCGCACGGTGAGCAAGGCACTCTCCCCACAAGCCCCTCCCCTCCCACAGTGATTCTCGCGCCAGGACCAAGCTGCAGCCTCATCAGGCCCTGTTCTCCTTTCCTTCCAGTTAACTGTGGGCCCCGCACAGAGGGCTGCTGGCAGACCTAGAATCTGGTGGGACGTCCATCTCCACAGGAAATGAGGCAAGGCTGTGAGGGGGCGAGGGGAAAGGAGGAAGCATTTCTTAGTGTCTACCACGTGCCAGGCACTGCATAAGTGCTTCACAACAGCGTTCCAGATGGCCTTGCTGCCCATCTGGAGGGGACATAGGCTGTAATGGGATGGAAAACAGTGTTGCAAAACTGAGATGCTTCCTGCCCTGTCTAATGGCCTGTTTGAGAATGCACGAGACAATGCAGGGGGAAGGTTGGGCACATGTAGGACCACTGTACCTCAAGAGAAAGGTGGGATCCATGACAGAGAAGGTGTTTCCATTGGGCCCTGCCTGAGGGTCCTCATCCCACCCTGGGGGATAGGTGGGTAGGGCAGACTTCTGCAGGGAGGAAGCCAGGAGCCCTGGCAAAGGTCCAGAGTCTGAATCGTGGCTGGAGGCCCAGCTGACAGAGCTTGGCCTGTATCAACCTCGGAACCCTCATAGCTAAGCCCAAGAGGCCAGGCTCAGCCTACATCTGAACACTCCTTTTCATAGACCCTGGGTCCTGCCTGATGCCAGGCTGGGACTGTATCTGCCTGTCAGAGCCAAAGGGAAGGCTGAGGTTTGTTCATCTGCTTTTCCAATTGGGCTAGGGAGAAGTGGAAGAAAGAGGAAACGTGTTTTCTTTGTGGCCCAGAGGTGAAGAGGAGGAGGAAGTCAATTGAGACATCGCCCCACAGTAACTAAACTGTCTTCTCATGTTCTCCAGGGCAGAGCAATACAAATGGAATCCCCACATCTTCAGCTCCCATCCCAAAGGGCGTAGAGCAGATGTGAGGGTCGTTCCCCACCCTGGGCCACCATAAACGTCAGAGAAGGGAGTCAGTGTGGGAGGAGAAGCAGGGCCAGGAGAGGAGTCAGGACCCAGAGCAGCTGCTGCAGCCTCACCTATGTTGAGGATGAACTCTCCACCTCGCTCTCGGTACATGTGGTAGACAAAGAGGCAGGACAGGGGCTTCAGGAGGAGGCTGAAGATGGCCATGCCCGTGCTGAAGCGTATCGTGTCAGACAGTGGGATCCCATGTGGGTAGAAGATGCTGATGTAGATGATATCCAGGAGGATGGTGATGGCCAGGCCCACCAGAAACTGCAAAATACAAAGTGTGAGCAGTGCCCACAGGGCTGAGCTTGGGCAAAGGCCCTGCTACGGCTGGGGGAGCCCCAGGCTTCTACAAAGCAGGCCAGACAGGCCTAGAATGCTGGGCAAGAGCCCTGCTTCTGCCTTCTGAGAGAGGCCGGGCTGCGAGGGAGAGCTCATCCCCCAAACTCCAACTAGTCATGAGCGGTCACCCTGTTACCTTACCCTTAAAGAGGGCAAACAAGACTCATAACAGAAGGTGGCACTATTATTTGCTTGGCATAAATCACAGTGGATCAATGATTATTTCAAAAGCTTGGGGAGGAAGGAAGTGGAGAAAAGCACAGAGAGTGAGAGAGGCCCATGGGAAAGTGCTGCCTTCATTGCCAGAGGGCTTGTGGGGGGCTGGGGGTGGGGTGGAGAACTACCTTAGCTTCAGTCCTCTCCTCCCATGGAGGAGTAAGCACTCACTCCTCCTACAGGCTGGGCCTCCAGTGATAAGAAAACTCATTTGTTTCTTCCCAAAGAACTCACTGTGCCAAACTGTGTCCACTAGTTGCTAAGTCCTTGAGCCCACCCTGGTTCAACAGAGAAAACCTTTGGCCTTTGTCTGGGGCCTCCAGGTCTGCGAAACCGAAGCCTCCCCAAACCCTTCCAGGTATTATTTCCATTTGGGGGATGAAGAACCAAAGCTGGAGAGAGGCGAGCTGCTCATGGTCATGGACAGGAGGCCTAGTCTCCACCCTCTAATTGCTTCAGGAAAGAAAGGCATTTACATCTGGTCATACCGACTAAACAGTGAGCTCCTCAGGGGCTGACTCCCCTCCACCAGTGTCTGTCTACACAGCGTTGGGCACAGAATCAATGCCCCGAAATACTCGTAGAATGGAGGTGTACCAGCGCTGGGAAGGAGGGTTCACTGTCCCTGGGCTTTCCTTCATCAACATAAGGTCATTTGTTTTGAGGAAAGCAAAGAAATCTCTCTATAAAAGTACTGGGGGTGGAGATGTGGAGATGGAGTTGGGCTGGACTGACACAGGGGGTGAGCCCATGAAGCCAGCCTGGAAAGGGCCACTTGCGTAGGCCAGATAAATCCAAACAAAGAACGTGGCAACCAGCACGCCTTCCCAAAGGAGATGCCAGGCTGCTGGTGAAGAGCTGCCCAAGGGCTGAAGACTGGAGTGCTCTGGAAAAGGCTTTGAAAGTGAAAATCTGGCCACTAGGGACATAAGGAAGGAAGGAAAGGAAGGCTGGGGAAACTGATGTGAACATGGAGAAGAAAGAAGCTGAGCAGGGCCTTAGAGGAGAGCTGGGATCGGAAGTGAAGAATGGTGAAAATCCTGTCCAGGTCTCCCTGGAGGGGGAGGGGTGACCCGACCTTCCCCCAATCCCTAAACTCACCATAATTATGGCATCCAGGGAATCTCGCTGAGCAATGGCCCACACCCCCAGAGCCAGGACGGTGAAATTAGCCCAGGCATAGGAGTTTGAGAATGCAAAACAGCCCCTGGCAAGAGTAGGCACACACACACACACACACAGTCAGTCCCACCAGATCAATACCTGGGCTAGGTCCTTTCTCACTTCTCACTGCCTACTCTCACCGCATTTGTCTTCAGCTCTTTTCTTCTATTATTTTTTAAAAATACATTTGAGGCCTTTTTTCTTTATACCAGTCACTTCTTTAAACAAAACAAAACCCTTCCTCCCACCTGCCCAGACGGAATCCTCCCTTGTAACACAATCATCCAATACAGTAGATTAAACCCTTGGGCGGAGTAGTCTCCCACATTCTCCTCTTAGGAAGGTCTATTTAATCATCGCTTCTGCAAGCTCATCCCTGGTTTCTCCAGTTATCTGAGTTTAGAAGAATAACTATAAAGCACTCAGCAGGATGCCTGGCATACAGTAGGCACTTAATAACTGCTTGTTTCCTTCCTTCCCTTTACAGTGTTGCAGGCACTGCGTGTACAGTTGCTTTTGTTCGGCTTAGTACAGGCTGTATCTGTTGAGGCTGAATCTTCTCCTAGTTCTCTGAATTCCTCACATTTGTCATTTCTTTCTGCCCAGTAATCTTCCACCTCATTCAGCTAGAAGGTCAATTTAGCCCTTCTGCAGCTTACGGTCACCCGCTTTGTCTCCCACTCCTGGCTGGTGCAAAGAGGGCAGCTACAAACATCATTTGGTCCTGTCTCTGGCCCCGTTGGGGTGTGTGCCCAGAAATGGATCCCTAAGTCAGGAAGTGTGTAGCGGCAAAGTAGTTACTCTGATTAAAAAAATCCAAACATGCAAAAACTGGATAAAAAAGTCACAGTCTCACCCACAGAACTTTAGTGGGCCCATCTTACCAAGACTGACTGTTTACCACCGTTTCGTTGTTTTTTGTCAGTTTTTGAGATGTGAGATGAAATCTCAGCATTACAGTAATTGAATTTTTATTACTGTTAATTCTTTTTATCACTGTATAAATGTTAGCATGTTTTCAAATAGTCCCCTATAATGTGCCTTAAAAAAAATTGTATCCTTTGACCACTTATCTGGGAATGGATCTTGATAACACATGTATGTGTGTCAATTCCCTGGGCAGAGTGGATATTGGACTTTTACTGGTGGTATTTGATGTCAATAGTATTCCCACTCTAGGGTTTCTCTTTTTGTTCTATCTTCATTAATTTCATTGGTTTGAAAGTTTTCAAATTTTGTATAATTAAGATTGTCCAACTTCCCTTCTAGGACCTCCTCTATTCCTTGTTTGGTTATGGATTCTCTTTCTTGTCTCCTTCGATTTTTTCAATGATATGATCTTTTGCATTCAAATCACGCATCCCTTTGGACTTTATGGTGGCAAGGATGATCAAAGTCTGTTTTCTGCCCAGCCATTTCCCAGATTTCCTTAGCGGTTCATGTAAAAGACAGAATCCACCCTCCAGGTAATTTGTTCTTCAGTCCATCCAGCACTCATCTGCTGTTTTGGATTGTGTCTGCTCTATTTATCCCACTGATTTGTTTTGTTATGCTTTTTTAACCAGTATTACTGGACTGATAATTTGAATGGAATGGTACTAAATCTATAATTTAGACAGCATGGTCATTTTTATTCTAGGATTATGGCCTAATCATGAACACTGAATAGCGCTACAATTACTTAAAACTTTCTCCTTTATTTCTGTAAAAAGTGTTTTGTAGTTATATTTTACATATATATTGCATATATCTTGGCAGGCCAACTCTTGCGTATTCGGTATTTTGTAGTTTATTTGAACAAAATTTTTCAGTATTGTTTCTTTTTGGGTTTTGATAGCATAGAACTGCTGATAATTTCTATGGATTTATTTTATGTCCTGCTGGAGTCACAAAGTCCTGATTTCAAATTGTGTGAGGATCAAATGAAAAATTATTGTAAGGGACTTCTTATAGTAAGCTCTATATAAATGTTAGCTATTTATTATTATTATTATTATTACTTTACTGAAACATTTATCACAGTTTCTTTGCTACTCCCCTACGGTTTCTACGTATATCATCAGGCAAACTGAAAAGAGGGAGGCTTTTATCTTGTCCTTGCCAGTGTTTATGCCTGGAACTTTGTTCTCTTATTTTACTAAGACAATGAGCATTTCTAGAATTGTGGCAGATAATAGTGGGAAGCGGGGGCTGCTGCATTGCTATTGTTTAAATTTGTGTTCTGCTAGTGTTTCTACATTGAGAATACTGCCTCTCGCTTTTAGATATATGCTTTTGATCATAATCAGAGGTCTTTGTGTGATTTTTTTATGTATTTACATGTAAATATATATACAAATATATTTATATATTTTTATGTATTATTTATAAATTTATTTAATCAAGAGTTTTTTCTATATCCATTGAAAATTAGATCATTTTTGTCATTTAGGTAATTAATTATGCAAATCATTTTCTTAACACTATACCATCCTGTATGTGTGGTATGAATCTAATGACCTCATACTGAATTAGCTACTGGCTATATTGCTGTAATCTTCTTGCAAGGATCTTACTTAAAATGTTTGCGTTTGCATTCATTAGGAAGACTGGTTTAGAGTTCTCTGTCTCTGCTTTATTTTGTTCTGGTGTGTCAAGCTAGGTGGCATGGTGGATGGAGCGCCAAGCCTGGAGTCAGGAAGACCCGAGTCCAAACACGCCCTAAAATATTTTTAGCTGTGTGACCCTGGGCAAGTCACTTAATCGCTGTCTGCCACAGTTTCCTCAATGGTAAAATGGGGATAATAATAGCACCCACCTCCCAGGGTTGCTGCGAGGATGAACTGAGACAATATCTATAAAGCATCTGGCACGTCCCTGGCACACAGTAGGCAGAATGCTAGTTATTATTATCCATCTGATCCAGTTTTGTTTCCCGTTGGCAGTTCATTTACAGCTAGCTTATCTTTTTTTTTTTTAAGTGAGACTGAGTTACTTAAGATCTTTGCTTTGTTAATCTGGGTGTTTTGTATTTTTGTGGATACTCATCCACTTCCTTCGAATTCTTAGTTTTGCTGATATGATTGTGTGTATACTTGTTTGTAATAATTTTCTTTCCTGTTTCTCCTTTTTCTTTTTTTTTTTGAGGCAATCAAGTTAAGTGACTTGCCCAGGGTCACACAGCTAGTACAGTATCTGAAGCCAAATTTGAACTCAGGTCCTCTTGACTCCAAGGTCAGTGTGCCACATGGCTGCCCCTTGTCTCTAATGATTTTCTTCTTTTTCTTCTCTGTTGTGAATTTACCTTGTTCACTTTTATTTTGCCCATCTGAATTCCTCTTTTTCTTGGATCAAGTCAGATAATGGTTTATCTGTCACCTGTTAGTTTTATAAAGCAGTCCTTAGTCTTACTGTTCACACTATTTTCAAATGTCTCTATTTTGCCGCTAGCATCGGATATTTTTCTTTTGTATTTTTTAGGGTTATTTTGTTTTGTTTTCCTCATCTTTTTAATTGCATGTCTGGCCCCTGATGCTCTCTTTTTCCAATGCGGTGATGTAAGTTTTTAGAGAGATGCATTTTCCTCTGAGAGCTGCCTCGGCCTCATTCCAAGAGTTCTGTCATGTTCCTGCTTAGGACACCTGCTCCCACAGATCACCAGCCCCCCAAAAATGAAAACTCATCACCAGGTGACTCACCATGTTGTCAGCAGCCAGTGCACCAGAACGATGGCCTACAAGAGCAAAGGGGCAGAAGGAGGGAGAAGAACGGGAGACACACAGGTCGGTGAGTCTGAAAAACTATGGCAAAAGACATCGGGAGTGGTGAGATCCTGAGGAGAAAGAGGGCTAACAAATACTTCAATGTCTGACCTGCTGGTGAGCGGTGAAACAGAATGATGTAGCCTGGGAGAAAAGGAAGGGCCCGGAAGGCAGGCTGGGCTGGGCTCATCTCAAACCCCTCTCTTGTCTCGTTTCCTTTATGGGAGTAAGTCCCATGATACGTGGCTAGTTCTATGGACATTTGGAGCCCAGTTGGGGCCTCTGAGGTAGATGATCGATTTCAGACTCAGAAGGCAGTTTGAGTGACAACAGCCTGGGCCAACATGATTCTAACCAGCGAGTTTTTGTTTTTTTTTCCTTCATGAAGATACAGCTGAGGTGGGAGGCTATAGTTTGGGGTCTGGTTTCCCCACCAAGATGAAAGGTCCTCTAAAGGGCCTCCTACAACACTCAGAATGCTGGCAGTGGGAGGCAGGCAAAATGCTCAGATTGGCTTGGTAGTGGCAGAGCTCTGCATCCACAAGGCCACGTGGGTGAGACGGGCCTGGCCAGGGGCAGACCCTACCTAACCAGCATCAGGGATGCTGAGCATCAGTCCCAGCTCTAATCAGCAAAACCAGCCCTTTGGAAATCCCTTCCCCCCCAGGTATGACTCAGTTGTCAACAGGGACATGAATGATCTTACATATCTTTGTACCTGAGGATGTAGTACTCTAGAAGTCTACTGTGAGCAGCCAGAGAATTTAAATGCAAAAGGGATAAGGATGAGGTCTATACCCCTTCCAGCCCCTGGAGTCTCAATTTCCCCACTAATAAGGAAGCTGAGGCTGACCGAGGCCCAGGGCCTGGCCCAAGGTCACAGAGGGAGAGGTGGCCCAGTGAGGAGCAGCGGCCAAGTCTTCTGGCTCCCTGCCCAAGACCAGATGGAATTGGAGGGGCAAGGCATTCCTGCCTCCTCCACCCAGGCCCGTCTTCCCACCAGGTTAAATCAAGGCTTTATCCTGGCTTCCCAGCGTTTCTTGACTGGCACTGACTCCTAAGTTTAGGCTGTGCAGATCTTAATTTGAGTATCTGAGTAGCTTTCCTCTACTTCAAGCCGATTAAGCAGATCTATAAACAAATTCTTATATGAGACCGACATTTACAAAATAATTCACCTGTAGGGTTCCTTTAATCCTACCCTAACTACAAGAATGGGACATCCAGGTAGCGCCTGGAGGCAGGAAGACCTAAATTCAAATCTGAACTCAGAGACTTGCTAGCTATGTGACTCTGGGCAAGTCACTTCACCCTGTTTGCCTCAGTTTCCTCATCTGTAAAACGAGCTGGAGAAGGAAATGGCCAACCACTCCAGTATCTCTGCCAAGAAAAACCCAAATGGGGTCCTGAAGACTGAAATGATTCAATAACAACCACAACAATAGGTAAAGTTGTATTTTTCTTCAAGCTGAGCATCCTGGCACTGCCAGTCCCTCTGTGACCTTAGGCCAGTCACTCAGGCTCCAGAAGCTGGACGAGATGGTTTCTAAGGTTGCCCCTTCCAGCTCTAACATAACATGTTCTAAGGTCACTTCTGGTCCTAAGAACCCATTGCACAGCTAGCACCTGGCAGGTATCTCCAAATCTGCTCATTTCACCAAACCGTGCAAGGTCCTTCCACTAGAAAAAACAGGCTAGCAGAGAAAGCCCCGGATCACGGTTTCCATCCTGGCCCTCTGGATCGGGCCAATACAAGAACAGAATGCACTGGCAAACCTTTTGCCAGTAGTGGGAGAAGTGATTCGTTTCAGCATGCCTAGCCTTCAGTTTGGGAGAGCCAGGGCCCACCTATTCTGGGATAAGCTGATGAGCCCTGAACAGCTCCTCCAAGGAGATAAACCCCTTTCCCTTTTCAGAAAAGGTCTTCAGAGGGAAGCTAGAAGATTATCATTAGCAACACAAATTTGGTAACCAAGGAGATACTGAGTTTTTCTACACAGTAGCCAAGTGTCTCTCTTGGTTACAGCTATGTGTGTGTATGTAGGTAGGTAGGTATACACACACATATATACATATGTATATATACAGATGTGCATCTGTTTATCTATATCTATATACATGTACACACATGTGTATGTGTGTATGTGTGATGTATGTATGTATGTATATCAGCTAGGAGTGGGAAAGGAGCCCAGGGAGTGACAGCAGAGGGGGAGAGGGGGTTAGATGAAGAGCAGGTCTGTACTAACACTGAGAGCTTTCTTGACAGGCGAGCTTCCTTACTCAGTCTGCCGGCTAGGTGTGATTAGTGCCATTTTACAGAGAAGAGAACAGGCACAATGAGGTGAAGCAGGGAAGGGGGGGCAGAACACCAACCACGCCCTGCACGTCTCCTCCAGCGCTGTGACTTTCTGTACGTGACAAGCACCTCTGAGTTGGACTGGGGTCTGGGCTGAGTTTCGCTTTGTCCTTCTGGCTGGGAGAGGGCAGAGTCAGGGTCCCAGTTGTCGGGAACAGCCCAGGGGCCTACACTGTGAGACCCAGACCAGAAATGGAGGGGAGGGGGGTTCATATAACAAAGAGAAGAACCAGGAAAGAAAAGTGTCATAAAAACTGAGGCAGGGCCCAAAAGGATGATGAACAAGGTAAGGCCGTTAGCTCTAGCAATTAAGAGATCACAGGAGCATAGATGTAGAACTGGAAGGGATCTTAGAGGTCAGTAAGTCTAATCCCCTCATTTTGTAGATGAGGAAACTGAGGCTCAGAGAGAGGAAGTGACTTACCCAGTGCACAGAGCGCTGGGCCTGGAGTTCAAATCCAGCCTCAGACACTTAGATGCTTTATGACACTGGGAGATCAGTTGACCTGTCTGCCTCAGTTTCCTCATATGTAAATGGGGAGGGGGAATAACAGCACCTACCTCACAAAGTTGCTGTGAGATAACATCTGTGAAGTCCTTAGCACAGGGCTGGACACATAGTAGGTGCTACATAAATCTTCTTCCCTTCCCTTCTCCGAGGGTCAGTAAGGGGCCAGGCTGAGAAAGGTCCTGTGACTTCTGATTTCAGCACCCTTCCCCTCTTCCCCACTGGTAACCTTGGAGACAGCAGTGTCAGTGGGCAGTGAGGTTCCCAGCCAGCCTGCCACGGCCCAAGGTATGAGGGGGAGGCAGGCAAGCGGCAGCACCAGCAGAGACCACGGTTTTTCTGGGACTCTGTCTGTGACAAGGAAGGGAGACGCAGGACAGAGCTTGAAGGGTCAGGACAAAGCAGGGAGAAGCTGGTGGAAGATCTGAGGTTTACAGGCAGCCAGGAAGAAGCTCATGAAGAAAAGGAGCCCGAGGATCAGACAGACAGAGGGCATGACTACAGGAGCTAGCACCCAGGAGACATGGAGGGTGGGGGGCCAGGACCTGATATAGGAATTTAGGAATTCCAGGCAGGAAGGCAGATTCTATGGTTTGAGAGACAATACACCAGTATGAACAGAGGGAAGAAATTGGGATTGGAAGCCCTTGGTCTCCTTCCTGCCTTGAGCCGTTTACTGGCTCTGTGATCTTGACAAATCACTGAACCCCTCTGAACCTCAGGCTCCTCCTCTGTAAGACGAGGATAATAACAGACTCCTTACTCCTCAGGGTTACGGGGAGAAGCACTTGGCAAACCTTAAAGCACAATACGAAGGTAACTCTGATGACGTGTCAGACTCTTTCCCGACCTGGCCTCTCCATGGCCAGGCCTCCTTCCACAGTCCACAAGGAGAGTCCGGAGACCAGCTGGGGAGGCACTGACTTCCTCAGGGCACCAACCTGTCTCTCCTAACCAGGGCTCTCTTCCCAAGTATGGGAGTTCACACCTGGGGCATGCCACCCCACAGAAATGCCAGGAAACTCCAGCATCAATACAATACTTAGCACACATTGACTCTACAATAAAGACTGGCCATTCATTGAATGGGGAGCTCAGCAAAACCATGATTTTCCCAACCTCTTCTCAGGAACCCCACAGCCGGAATACCCCTCCACAGCCTCAGCTGCCCTTTACCCCGCAAACCTAGCTTCCTCTACTCCCTTTCTCTATTAGCATACCCAGGACCCCTAAGGGCCAGAGGAGATGGTATCTGGAGGGCCCCTGTAGCCTAAAGGTCACAAAAGAAGAGCGGCCCAACTGGACCAGGCTCCCCTTGGCCACAGGCCATCCTGAGGTCTTGGAAACACATTTCACAAAGAAGCATTGGAGGCAGCTGTTCAATGGTTTCCATCGTACCTAACTTGTTGTGACCCATTTGGGGTTTTCTTGGCAAAGACACTGAAGTGGTTTGCTATTTCCTTCTCCAGCCCATTTTACAGATGAGGAAACTGAGGCAAACAGTGTAAAGTGACTTGCCCAGAGTCACACAGCTAGGTCTGAGGCTGGATCTGAACTCAGGAAGAGCAGTCTTCCTGATTCCAAGCCCAGTGCTTTCTCTGCTGGGCCACCTAGTTGCCTCAAGGAGGCAGTCAGGGGGCACCTAAGTGCAGAGTGCTGAGCCTGGAGCAAGACTTGGGTTCTAATCTAGGCTCAGACCCTTACTATCTCTTCGATGCTGGGCAAGCACTGAAGCTCTGTTTGTCTCAGTTCCCTCATCATACAATGGGGACAATCACAGCATCTGCCTCCCAGAGCTGTTGTGAAGATCAAATGAGATAACATTTGTAAGGCTCTCAGTACAGTAACCAGCACACAGCAGGTGCTTAATAAATGCTGTTCCCTTCTCTCCCAGTTCTTTTGACTTGAAGGACTGGCGCAGTCAACCACGGCACAGCCCTTCGCCCTGGGTCCTGAACAGCTCTCCGTGGTCTTCCCGAGAAGAATGGGGGCATTTCTTTTAATCAGGAAGTGTACTGTGTTAGAGCAGAAGGGGCTGGTTTTTACATGTTAAAGAATCAAACAGTGCAAAGAACCAAAAAAGGTCAGCCCCTACACTAGACATCCTGGCTTGTCTGAGGCCATTCCAGTTTAAGAATGGCTTCCTGAAGGACGCCAGCCATACACTGGGTGTAGCTAAGGGTTTTTCCACAGCGCAACATGCGGAGCTTTGTTTGCATTACATCTCTAAATCAACGATCCCACCTGAAGTGGGAATCACAACAGGAAGAAACCCTATAGCTACTAACCCAGCCTCACTATCTGACTAATGGTGCAAAACAGGACACTGAAAGCATCACATACAATCCTAAAGATAAAAATCATTTTTTTTCTTTAGTCAAGTCATTCAGTTACAAACCACACAGTCCCCATGCCTGACCTTCTAGGAGCTATTTTTAAAAGAAAGTAGTTTAGGGTGAGGGTTAGCACACGTTCTCCACGTGCTTGTCTAGTCTTCCTAATTCAGCACAAGCTTGATGCAGGTAGGGACCCGGCTGCCCTCCTCCTAAGCGGCTGGGACAGGGCTATGGAAAGAGCAGGCCTCCACGAGACTCGAGGATCCTGGCCCCAAACCTCAAAGATCTGATTTCTGGGCATTTCTCCACACTTCCTTCCAACTGACTTTGGAACTAGCTCCCAGCCCAAGGTGCCGCCCACTCCAGAGAGGACATGTGAACACAGTGAGGACTGAGAGAAAGATGCCTCTCTGCAGACCCATCTTCCCCTTCCTCCCAAATGACACAACTCAGTCCGACCTTTCAAACTACAGTCACACCTACAGCAGCTATTGGTTAGAATTACCAACACCGCTGTGTCCACAGGACATTGTGGTCTAGGGAACGCAGAGGATGGAGCCTTGCACCTCGAGTCCAGAAGTCCTGAGTTGAAATCTGGCCTCAGACTCTTCCTAGCTGTGTGCACCTTGGGCAAGTCACTGCACCTGTGTTTGCCTCAGTTTCCTTACCTGTAAAATGAGGAAAATAATAGCTCCTTCCGCCCAGAGTTGTTGTGAGGATCAAATGACATATCTGTAAAGCATTTATTAGCACACAAAGTACTACAAAAATGCTAGCTATGATTATTAATATTATATTCCTGGCACTCTTGGGTAAAAATGCTATCACTGAGCTGGGAAACACCTTGACCTAGGCTGTCCCAGCTCTGTCTCCAATACTAGAAATGAGTGGGACCTGGAGCCTGGGCCAAGGGTCAGCCTTCCTAATTAATAGCCCATATTTCTGTGTTGGTGGAAGAGCAAATAAGCATGGCCATGGGGGTGGGCCCAAGCCAGAGGAGGGTGTCAGAAGCGAGGACACCCTGCCAAGAGCACCATTTTTGGCACAGTCACAGCCAGATTCTTTAACATGGAAAAGAGGGGTTTGTTATTCACATGACTTTCTGAACTCAGTCTAAGTAAACAATGGGGACAAATAAGTAACCAGGACAGTAAACAGTGAAAGCAAATGCTCCTGGAAATGGAGAGCCCCGGGTCAGAGCCGCAGGGAGGAGGCAGTGGGAGGCAGAGGGTCTCTGGCCTGGGCTGGCCCCCCTCCTCACTGCAGTCCCCGACCCTTCCTCTGCTTCACAAAGTCCCCAGGGCAGGTCTGTAGGTTAGAGAAGCCTAGGACAAGTACCCTGTCCTGTGACAAGAGAGCACTCAGCCCTTCTCTTTCTAAACAAGTCCACCTAGCCTCCAATGGTCTCAGTTCCTTCTTCCCTCCACCTGTTTCCTTTCCTTCACATCCAAGTCAAGAAGTAAACAAGCATTTATTAAGCGCCTACTGCGTACCAGGCCTGGCTCTAAGTATCAGAACTTAGCTCCTCCCTCTGCACCTGTCTGTCAGCCCTCTGTCCCCGGACTTCTGCTCCCCAGTTTTCCTTTTGTCCCCTGACCTTTCAGCCGCCCCGTCTGCTCACCCACCGTTTTTCCTTATTCCATAGAGGACAGCCGGATTTCCCAGTGCCGCTGACTCCATCTCCTTCCACCCAATCCCTGCCCTCCTCCTATTCACCCCATGCCTGGCCTCTCCTCTTCCATTCCTCCTCTCCCTCATGATTCCACTGAAGTTAGCCAACAAGCACTTATTGAGCACCTACTCTGTGCTAAGTGCTGGAGATTCAAAGAAAGGCCCTGGCCCAAGGACTTCACAGCTTGATGGTGAAGATGACACGCAGCCTCTGTACTAAGGAGCTAAGCCCAGGATCCAGGGGGATGGTCAGCAGAGGGAAGGGGCTAGACTGGAACCGGATGGGATAAGGCTTCCTCTGGATGCTGGAACATCAGCTGGGTCTTGGAGGAAGCTGGGAAGAGGTAGTGATGAGAAGGAAGAGCATTCCAGGAATGGGGGCCGGCCAAGGAAAACCCTGGGCCCCCCCCCCAGCCACATCTTATATCCCTTGGGCTGCTCCCCCCCCATGCCTCATTCTAAGCTTTTCCACCCCTCACCTCCTTAGACTCTCCCCCATCCATCCACTGGGCTTCCTTCCTCCTTAGTTTCTGGGCTCCCTCACCCCTAGGAGTTCTGCCTCATCCAGCCTGTCCCCACTCCCCATCTCTTCTCATGCTCCAGCCCCTTAACCCGCCCCAATGCAGTCTGTCATCCCCTGGACACTTCTTCCCTTCGTCCTCATCCTTTCAGCCTCCACCTGCTGCCTCCTCACCTCTCCAGGCCCCACATTCCCTCAGACCTCCCTCTTCCTCATCCCTTGCCTTTCTGCCTCCCTCCTTCCTCAAAACCCTCCTGTCTTTAGTGCCCCAATCCTCTCTCCTTCTTGTCCTTTATCCAACTATAACATAAGGAACTGCCCTCACCTCCATGTCCCCTCACTCTATCACGCTCTCTCACTCCTAAACTGCTCCTCCCCCAATCCCTAGTCTCTAGTTCTAACAACTCCAAATCTATGATATAGCATTTTAGCTAGATGACCTTCTTTGAGACTCACAACAAACCCTGGAAATGGAGATACAGATAATATATCTACAGAGATCTACAGATATTATAAGAGCCATTTTGCAGATAGCATAATTGAGGCCCAGGGAAGTTAAGTGACTTGCTCATGATCACAAGGCTAGTGTTTGAGGCAGGACTGGAACCCAGATCTTTCTGATTCCAAGTCCAGCACTCTTAACTACCTTAATAAATAAATGAACACACACACACACACACACACACACCACACACACACACACACGAGTAATGTGACGGTTCACGACTCTGGTCTCCTTATGTAGGTGTGGGTTTAAATCCCACTTCTGAGGCCAGGAATATTTGAGGAGAAAAGAATAAAGTTTTGCTGAAGGTTTCTGCAATAGCAAACAATAGCATGTGCACACAGAGGTAGTTTGCAACAGGCTACAAATTCCCCTAAGATTTACCTTGCTTATACAGTTTTTTTTAAAGCAAAGAACAAATGAATGCCAAAGTTGCTAAGTTTTTAAGCAATATCCCGAACTTCTGCTGTCTCTTCCTAATCTGCCGTTTAGTCTTCAGGAAATCAGGGAAAACATTCTGCTAACTCAAGGAAATATGACTGCATAATAAATGGAGAAGCCCACCTAGAGTGCAGGCTTCCAGGCTCCAAGGCTGGATTGCATGGAGCTCAGACTCCAAAGTCCTGAAAGCTGGAGGCTGTAGGCGGCTGCTTCTTACAGCATGGCCTCCATTTTGGATGCATTTTCTAAGTATGTATACTTTTTTTCAGATGCCTCTCCTGTGCCTATTCTTACTCGCCCCTCTCTGGTCTCCAGGTCCCCGGACCCCTTAAACCCCCTGCTCCACTAACCTCCCGACCATCTCATGGCCCCTAAACCCCTCAACCTTCTCTTTCCCCTCCAGCCTACCGTACATCGGAAAGCACTGGACTTGGAGTTCACTTGAACCCAGCGTCAGGCATTTACCAGCCTGTGTGACCCTGGGCAAGTCACTGAACCCTCTCTGTGCCTCAGTTTCCTCGTTTGGAAAATGAGAGAGCTCCGACCCACAGGCCTCCGCTCTGCCCTCCTTGCCTCCCTTCTACACGCCCCCTCCCTCTCAGTCTCCACTCCGCCCGGGGCCCCGTTTTTGTCCCTCTCCGGCCCCCTCCCCGTGCTCTTCTAACCGTGCCCTCCCCGGACTTACCTTGAGGTTCACGGCGGGCAGCTCCATCCCAGGCCAAGCCGGGGCCGGGGCCAGGGCGGGTTCAGACAACGGGGAAGCAGGCGGCGGCCGGGACGGCTGCAGTGGCTCGGACGCTACCCGCAGAGTTGGGAAACAAACTTTTCCGGCCCCGCCCCGGGCGCCCCCCTCCCCCCAGCTCCGGCTCCAGCTCCGGCTCCGGCGGCCACCTGACCCAGGGTTTGTGCACGTGACCGCGAGCCGAGGCTGGTTGCTAGGAGACGGCGTCAGCTTGCACCACGCTACTCCCCCTCCCCCTCCGGCCGGGCCGCGCGAGCCCAACTGTACCGCCGCCCCTCCCCCAGCCTCGGCGTTGGGCGGAGACGTCCTTAGGGAGGGATGGACCTCGGAGACCGCCGAGCCCAACCCTCTCCGAGGCCCTCCCTTCATCTCCGCCCGCCCCCCGCCGTAAGGATCGCCCCCAGCTCCCGCGGAGCTGGGAGGCTCGGAAGAGAGGGTGCAGGGCTGCGGGCAGGAGCGAGTCTGGGGGATCCCCTCCACGTGCCAGCTCCCCTTATGGGCTCTCTGCCCCCCTGGAGTACAAGCTCCTTGCGGCCAGGGCTGTCTGTCCCTAGTCCTGCCGGGCCTAGCACCTTGCTTGGTCCTTAGGAAATGCTCAATAAATGCATGCGTCCTCCGTCTGTCTGTCTGTCTGTCTGTCTCTCTCCTGCTACACCCAGCTAGGGCAAGTTGCCTTCTACCCCAATCCCTCCCCCAATTCCCTCCCCCTGAATTTCCCGGGGATCACCAGGCCCAGAATTTCTAGGCAGGCCTTCAATCACCCTAAGTAAAAGAGGAAGGACATTCTTCACCCACCCCCACCCCCATCCCACCTCCCTGGACTGTTTCAACTGTTCACGTATGGGATGGAAGGTTGATGAAAAAAGAATCTGGGCTCTTAGTGGTCTGCAAGCTCATTACCATCCTCTGGTGTGCTGCAGCCATCTTCTAGGGGAGTAAACTCCCCTCCCCCCCACCTGCAGAAGTACCACTCTTAGACTGGTGAGCCCCAGAGCTCCAGAACACCGGCCCTGATCCAGGAGAATGGCCCTTGTGGAGATGAAAACGGTCAGGTGCTGCTGTAGGTAAGGAAGGCCCCAACTCCTCCACAAACCAGCTGCTGAAGACTCTGAAGGAAAAGGAGGTTCTCTCACCACTAAAGCCTTTGGCACTTTCAAATGGTTCGGCATCAGATATATATGTGGTTTTTTATTAACGAAATCAGCATTTAAGAAGATGTTTCATCACCTGCTGTGCTGCTGAACCCTAAGAGCCATGGTGTCTTTCTCTCCATCTTGTTGCTGAAACCTCCTATGTGTAATCCCCCCAATTAGAATGTCAGCTCCTTGAGAACAGGGACTGTTTTGCTTTTCTCTTTGTATATTCAGGCCTTACTTAGCGCAGTGCTTTGCACAAAGTAAGCACTTAGATACTTTTTCATTCATTCATTCATTCATTTATTCATTCAGAGCAACCAGGAAAGCTGATGTAATAGAATGCATTAAGAAAGGTAGAATGTCTAGGACCAGGCAGGTCATTCAGCCCTCTGTCCCGGGGCCATTGCATATCAGGAGTTTTGCAGGGGAGACCGTATCTTGGGGAGATTATTGTTGAACTGGGAAGCCACTCCAAAGAGAGAAACCAGCATGGTGAGAGGCCATGAGTTCATTCCATACTAGGCTCTCTTGTAGCAATGGGGTGTTTAGTGTTTAGAGGAAGTTCTGGGAACAAGAGAGTCCTTTTTAAGTATCTTAGGGCTTGATCCATGAATGAGAGGTTGGTTCTGTTTGGCCCACATGTACAAAGCTGGGGGAAATGGGTGAAAGTCAGAGACACAGATTAACATGGGAGTCAGATGTCGCTAGCTAAAAGGGAATAAACTATACAATCATGTATCACCTAACTTGTTTGCCTTCTTTAACCAAACTTTCAGGTTAACAGTAATGGTGCCGTGACTTTGGATTGGAACTGAAGGAATGGGAGAAAACTCCAGCCCACCCCAGCAATGCTTTAGTGGCTCAGGCGCCTCAGGATCCGTTTTTTCCTGGAGTCCTAACCTTGATGGGGTCGGGTAAGTTTCTCCTATTCCCCGCTTCCATGGACCTCCCACTAGTTTGGTGGAAGTCCGAAAGAAAATTCCCTTCAAGCTAGCTCTGGGGTCGGGGATCCAGTCGAGTTTCAGAAACTTCAGCTACTGTCTGTTAGATCCCCTCAGGTAAAGATCGATCTAGAGAAATTGGCTATGGGTCACTCAGAAACTGAAACTAAAAATCCGGCTAACAAGACTGCCGCCTCTGATATGTCAAGCCATTGCCAATCTGGTGATCACAAGCACTGCTAGCGCTGATGTCAGTTAAACTAAAGATAACCCGAAATTATGTTGGTCACAATATGGAGTTCTTTTGACCGGTCAAAGTTACTTTATCTTAAAACCAAATCAAGTTTGGGGCAGCTAGGTGGCGCAGGGGATAGAACACTGGCTGAAGTCAGGAAGACCTGAGTTCAAATCCGCCCTCAGACCAAACACTTGACACTTAACTAGCTGTGTGACCCTGGGGAAATCACTTAACCCCAATTGCCTAAAAGCAAAAAAAAAACCCCAAAACAAATCAAATTTAAAGGCCAACAAAACATCTAGCCAGGAGTGGGAATGTTTTCATCATTGGGTTGCTGAGGTGGCTGGGGCAGAAGGAAAGGCAGAAGCCTCTTCCCTTAAGGCTTGCAAGGCCACTTCAGCACTCTTTCCCAGGCTCCAAATAATCCTCCTCCCCCTCCCCTTTCCCTTAAAGGCTATGGTCCTGACAGAGACTCAGATCCCCAAACTTAACTTTATTGGGACTTGCCCCTTTAAATCTGCAGTCTCAGGGGCACTCTGAGGAAGGCTCACAGGATCCAGTTACACTATCAGGTCTTGGGTCCTTGAAAATTCTCCAACCCCTTTTTCTCAGAATAATAATAATAATAGCCAGTTCGTGTGGGGGGGCTTTCTAACAAGCCTCTAATTCCCTCTCTCTCTGTCACTGAGTGCACACTATGTCATTATGTTTGTATTGTATTTGTCCTGTCAATTTGTCTGTCGGTTTGCGTCTCTGTATTTGTACCTTATAAGATTTTAAACGCAGCCAAAGACTTGTAAGGGCTGCAGCTTAGGGAAACAACAAATTGTAAAACTCCTTTCTTGTGGGTCCAGGCCTGGCCAGCCTAGACCTACAGTGAAAAGTTAGATACAGCTAAAGACTTCTTAGCAGATTCTAAAGGTTTTGAGATTAATCATTAAGAAATTGGGAAGTTGTTCATTTTGGGACTGTTGGAGAAAACTTCTGAGACTGGGGGTGATTCCAGGAGCTCACCCTCTGCTAAAACACCTCCTTCCAATCCTGATTCCTCAGCATTTCCCACTCCCCCCTCAGAGATAAGCATCTCAATAAGGGGACTGAAAAAGAGAAGAGAATGCTGGAGAATTGTAGGGAAAATTTAAATCAGCCTTCCCTATCTGGCAAAAGGAGGAGAGGGGCAGCTAACACAGACTAGCAGTGATGGTCTGCTATCAGCCCTATGCCCCTGGGCATCTTGCAGCCCACCCTTCTAGGCAAGACCTGGGACTAACGTCCAGGTTCAGTACATTCTGCCCAGCCTGCCCCAGCAGCTGCAAACGGCACCAGCCTCAGTAAATTATGCAGCTGTGGGGAGGAGAGAAGTGGACAGGTCAGAACTATGATAAGATTCCATATGCCCTGCCACCAAGAATTATCACCACTGGCAAAGCCCTGGCATCAGCCACCCAAACCCCTGGAAGGCCTGGCAATAGCATTATGAGGTGAGAAGCCAACTTCTACTCTTGGTAAGCCCCATACTTCTCTGTTCCAGTTTGGAATTTATGGCAAGTTATTTTATCTCTGTTTGCCCTGATTCCTGATTTGTAAAAGGAAAAATAATAATGGTTGTTGTTATGGGATCAAAACGATATAATGATTGCAAAGTGCTTAACACAATGACATATGTTAGACAACATTATTATTATCTCTCTAATTTAATGTAATTGTTCCATACCTGATAACTTTGAAGTGGTTTTTAAATACCATGAGTAATAAGATCAATAATTTCTATGCGTGATAATCCGGAAATGCAACTGATGTCATCTGAAGTTTATTGTTTGTGTTGTTAGTATGTTTCTAAATTGTATTGTATTTCTAAAACTTTCTTAGATTGTAAAATTTGAGAGATCATTGTGAGGTAGAAATGGTACATATGGTTTCTTTTAAAAGGATGTGATAAAATTGGATAATTTGAAAACTGTTAACATTTAATGAGGTATATTTGGTTGTAAGCAGGTAATTAATTGGTTCTGTTTCAAGTTTTAAATACCTGATAATTGTTTATGGTATAGTTATATTTCTGAGATTTTTTATATGGTGTAATCTGGTAAACAAATTGTATCAGCTATACTGTTGGGAAAAAAAAGCAATTTCTCTTATAATCCAGAGATGTTAGATCAAGAATTGTCACCCTCCCAAAATAATAATAATAGGGGAGAATGAATGGGTTAGAATAAACTCCAAGTTTTATTTGCTTTTAAGAGGAAGTTTCACCTAAAATTCTTATCAAATCTGTGTAAAAGTTTCCTGTGTTGTGAAATTCCTGAGTAAATGAGAATCCTTGAGATATGTTAATTTGGAGATTTATGGATTACCACATTCACTATCTTTGTGAGATTCCAGAATGTAATAGTTTTTCCTAACTTCCAGTGATATATTTAAAGACAAAGGAAAGAAAAAAATACTGAGTAAATTTTTAAAGGCTTGATAATATTTTTTATTGTGATAAGGCTAATTTAAATGGGTATGTTCTTTATGCATTATAAAAACTGAATTTTTTTCTCCATTACAATATCTTTTTGACTAAGGAACTTTGTGATATCTAGGAATTCTGTAACAACTAGGAATTTAGTTTGTTATAGTACTTTGGGAAGTTATTTATGTTACTTAAGGACATTTTACATCAACTTAGTTTTAATAATTCCAATTTAAAGGTTTATTTTTACTTTAAGGTGGAAAGGAAAGATATCTATCACTTTAAAAATTTCTAACAAATGTTCTTCATAAAAGTTTAGTGATTATTCTTCTTAACATCAGGACAAATTTTAAATGTTTTTAAAGAAGGGAAATACTTTCAGAAGATATGTCTTGTTTGATTTTTTTTTGAGGCCTACAAAATTTTCATTTGCAAGATAACTTACTGCTAAATTATTGTAATGAGCTGTAAAGCAGAAGAGATCTTGCTGTTTTGATCTGAATCTGTAGTCACTTCATGGCCTAAGCAAGAGTTAAATTAGTGTTTGAACTTATATGTATAAGATTCAAATCTTGAAATATCTCATTCTTTCAGAGTGAGTATAATTAGAGAAGAATAAACAAGCTTGTGAACAAGGACATAAATCCATCAACTTCTGAGGTTAAAGTTAGTAACCTCTTTGTTTTGTTTAAGGATTAGGATTCCAGTGCAGTTATGTTAGTG